CCCGCCCGCTCCCTCTCGCGCCCCTAGCGGCGGAGTCTCGCATGGCGGCCCCCGCAACGCCGAAATGGGGTCTGCAGAACCGGGTCCAGGGTTGGAGCCCGGCTGTGCGGGCAGGTGGAGCTGTCAAGCGCTTAGTAATTGGCACACCATGCAAAGAGTAAACAAAAGAAGTCTGGTAGAACTTCTAATATCAGACAAAGGTGATGCCAATTCAAGAAGCATTACTCTAATGGAGATCTTTTCATAACTGCAAAAGGGTAAATCCGACAGGCTGATATAATTCTAAATTTGTATGCATCTATTAACATAGCCTCAAAATATATAAAGCGAACATTAACAGAAACAACAGGCCAAGTGGTAGATTTCAGTATATTTCTCTCTATGTATGATAGAATAAGCCAGCAAATTAATAAAGATACAGAATTTTTGAACATTATGGTTAACAATCTTAGCCTAATAACATATACAGAGCAGTGCATCCAACAACTGAAAAATCAATCTTTTCAAGTAGACACAGAACAGTTACCAAATTTTTGTCCATAGGCTTGGTATAAAGCAATCCTCAACTATTTCAATGGATTGAAATCATCTGGGGTGTGTTTTTTGACCATAGTGACACTAAATAAGAGGCTAATAACAAAAATTTAAATATCCCAAATGTTTGGAAATTAAGCAATAAATTTCCAAATATCCCAACACTAAAAAAAAATCACAATGGAAATTATAAAACATTTATATTAAATTATTATGTGTATGTGACATATTATTACTTGTGATATGGTGCTAAAGCCATGCTTATAAAGAGAAATTTGTGATCTAAAATCATATATTAATGGGAGAAGTCTGAAAGTCAGAAATCTGAGTATCGATTTTAAGAAATTAGAAAAAGCATAACAAACCTAAAGGAAGTAGAAAGAAACTGTCAACTTTAAAATAAATAAAATAGCCAGTTATTTTACCAACAAAATGAGCTAACTCAGGACATGCAAACTATGGTTAATCATAGGCAAGTCCAGAGAACAAAAGAGGGGAGCTGCTTTTATAGAAAAGGAGGATTGGGGAGGGGCTGCACTAAAGGAGAGTCCACTGGAGGAGAGTGAGAGTTCAGGGTGGGAATGGCTTCTCATTGGCTGAGCTGTGGCTCCTCATTGGCTGAGCTGTGGTATTTCTCATTGGCTGAGCTGTGGCGCTTTCCGTTGGCTGGGACTGTTGCTGAGCAAGAAGAAAATCTTCCTCCTGCTGGAATGGTAAACCAGTAGGCAGTTTCCTGTTGGAGATGCAAGGTACATCTCTCCCTGTTTGTGGTAATTGAGGATGAGTGGTAGGGCATGAGAGCTCCCCCTATAGGCTTTCCAACTTTAACTTTAGTTGAGGTTTCCTTTATTAATTTTCACAAAACAGAAACTAATGAAATAGAAAATGCACAAAAGAATCAACAAGATCAAAAGTCATTTTTTAAAAAAACTAATAAAATTGATAAATCCCTAGAAGGAATGATCATACTGAGAGAAGACACAAATTATCAATACCAGGAATGAAAAAAAATGACATGTATACAGATTCCATAAATATTAAAAAGATACTATCTAGGGCTAGGCAAAGAGTTCTTAGAGTTGATACCAAAACCACAGTTCATAAAAGGAACAATTAATAAACTGGACTTCATCAAAATTGAAAACTTTTGCTCTGGTAAAGATTCGTTAAGAGGATGAAAAGACAAGCTACAGACTGGGAGAAAATATTTGCAAGCCACATATCTGACAAAGAAGTATCATCTAAATATATAAGGAACTCTCAAAAGTCAACAGTTAAAAAAAGAAAATCCAGTTAGAAAATGAGCCAGAACCGGGGCTGGCCCCGTGGCCGAGTGGTTAAGTTCGCGCGCTCCGCTGCAGGCGGCCCAGTGTTTCGTTAGTTTGAATCCTGGGCGCGGACATGGCACTGCTCATCAGACCACGCTGAGGCAGCGTCCCACATGCCACAACTAGAAGAACCCACAACGAAGAATACACAACTATGTACCGGGGGGCTTTGGGGAGAAAAAGGAAAAAATAAAATCTTTAAAAAAAAAAAAAAAAAAAAAAAAAAAAAAAAAAAAAAAAGAAAATGAGCCAGAACCCATGAACAGACATTTCACCAACAAGCAAATATGAGTGGCAAATATGAGCATGTGAAAAGATGTTCAACATCATTATCCTTTATGAAATGCAAATTAGAGTCACAAGGAGATATCACTGCATGCCTATCAGAATGGCTAAAATAAAAAATAATGACCACGCAAAATGCTGACAAGGATGCAGAGAAACTGGATGATTCACACATTGCTAGTGAGAATGTAAAATGGTACAGCCACAATGGAAAACAGCTTGGTAGTTCTTATAAGCTTCAACATGCAACTACCATATGACCTAGCAATTGTACCCTTGAGTGCTTATCCCAGAGAAATGAAGATGTGTGTTCACACAGAAAAACCTATGCATGAATGTTTATAGCAGCTTCATTCATAATAGCCAACAACTGGAAACAACCTAGATGCCCTTCAATGGGCAAGTAGTTAAACCAACTGTGGTCCATCCACATCATGGAATACTTCTCAGCAATAAAAAGGAACGAACTATTGATACATACAACAGTCTGGATGAATCTCAAGGAACCATCCAGAAACCCAGAACTTGTTTTGGGGAGTCCTCATAGTAGGACCCTCTGAGGATGAGAAGGCAGCCATTTCTGTGCTGTGATCACAGAGGATGGTGGGTAACAATCCTGATGGGTGAGAATCCTAGCTGGCTCGAGGACCACAGGGCTTGCCTCCAGGTTACCTAATCCCCCCCAGGCTTTCCTCTGCCTTTCTCCCACATCACTTTCTCTCTCTACACATCTTTTCTTCCCTTTTTCCCAGCTTCCCCTCACTCTCTGCCTCTCCTCCCTCTTCCCCCACGGGAATGACAGCAGTGATGTGCTCATGGGAGCCAATTTTTCAATTTTCAGGAATTTTGGGAGACTTCGTTAAGGACAGTCATTATTTAAAGTTAAATTATATCAACTTACTATTAAACAAATTATATTAAAACAAAGGCAATACTCAAAACTTACCACTTCTGATTATTTTATCATCGTCTATTCTCTTAAGGTTATTTTTGTCCATCGTATGTTTACGGTGGAAATGCTGTGTAATGGTGAGATACTCTGCATATCTTCCCAGCTCCACATTCAGTGATGTTACAGTGGGAGCAAGAAATCAGCTGTGATGGAAGGATTTACACCACAGAAATCGGCAAATGCAAAATAAGGTCTTGATTTATCGTTTTGTTTATTATTTAGACTTAAAAAAATGAAAGAGAAAATGCTAATAATGCAGAATTGTGTTGTCTGTAGCTGTTACAGTGTCAATAACACAAAATTTTGAGGAAATATTCTCTCAGAATTTGAAAAATATTATCTATTCTGCAAGGATTCACTTATATCATTGAGGAATGATGTTCACCATTCCAAAATCCGCCATCTTTGCTGTTTCACTCTTCTCTGACTCTTTAATACAAACACAAATACAATCAGCACTCACATCAGAATGGATGCTTCACTGTGGATGCAAGAAAAGTCAACAAAGGCATTCTGGGAGAATCAGTCGGCCATGTGGAATTTACAATTAAGAGTATTGTGTATTTCATCGTTACTTGTAAATTGCCACTACACATCCTTTATGTGATTACAACCCGTAGGAACTTTATGTACGTATACAGATGTCTCATTTTTCTGTGAGCTGCTTGTTAAACACTTTCCAGCACACCCCGAGTGGTGCTGGTTTCCCCCTCTGCCCTCGTGTCTCTACTTTCCTCTTCTTTTCCCCTTTCTCTCTCTCACTATCCCCTCTACATTATCTCTTTTTGTTTTAACTGGCCTCTACCCTCCTAACCCTTGACCCAACAGTCCTTCCAATTAATGCATTAAAGTCACAATCTTCATGACGTTTCCACTCTCCTCAGGGGTCAGGATGCCTTGCAGCCCTCCCACCCCACCCCCCTGAGGATTCTGGGCTCCGTGAGCAACACAGGGCCCTCTGGGTGGCAGGTCCCAAGCTGGGCACTGCAGGCACAGGAAGGCCCTTCCTTTCCACAGAGTGGACCCAGTGGAGGTGCACACAGGACAGCATGGGGTGGAGGATGACATGAGGGATGGGCTCCTGAAATCATGGGGTTGTGCCCACAGAAAATCCACTCGGCTTTTCCCTCATGGGCTGAGAGGACACCTAAGCTGTTCTGCACAGAGCTTTGGGGACAGAGAGCTTCTGGGCCGCACTGGGGACACAGCTCCTTCAAAGCCTCCCCTGCTGGCACCCTCCACACTGGGGAAGGACAGGTGGTCATCCTGCACCCACTCGGCCATTTCAGCCCCCACCAAGACCCTTTCCTACTTGGCAAAGGGGCATGAGCTCAAGGTCTGACCCAGCAGAGAAGGCCCAGGGGCCCCGAGCAGCATGGCCTCTGCTGACCCCTGCTCTCCTCAGTCCAGGGGGCAGGGTGGCCCTGGAGCCACCATGCCCCACGCCTTGCCAGTGGCTTCACTCTCTGGAACTGAGAAGCTTTCTGAGGTCCCTTCACCCGCTGCACAGGACCCTCCCAGACCCCTCTGCAACCTGTCCCCTCTCCCAGCTGTGTCTTCTCAGATGACTCGAGGTAAGCACCACCCTTGGGAGTCCCCAAAGTCACCCCCTCCTCTACACCATCAACGTTGTTGTCTATTTCTGGCTGCGCTTTGGTCCAAGGACTCTGCCAAACATTTTCCACACACGGTCCTTTGATTCTCAGGACACCCTGGGGAGGAGAACCATTACCATCATCTCACTGACAAAGCGTTTAAGGCTGTGGAAGGAGAAGGCCACACAGACAAGACTGAATCAACCGGTCTGCGGACCCCGAAGCCGGGGCCTCCCTGACACAGTGCCGCCACTGCGGGGAAGGGACCCAAGCCACCTCTGGGCTCCTGGACCTCGCGCTCTGCTCTCCCATCCTGCCCTCCCCCAACCCCCCGCAGGAAGGCCGCCTTCCCCCGCCCCCACGTGCCCATGCTGTTTCCACCAGCTGTGAAGGAGAAAGACGGGAGGGGAGACAGGGCACAGTCACGCCGCTAAGTGACACCATGACCAAGTCCGAGGCTGGACCGAGCCTGGTGCAGTCAGGACAGGTGCACATGCGTGTGTGTGATGTGTGAGATTGTGTCAGTGTGAGTGTATGTGAGAGCATGTGAGAACGTGTGTATGTGCTTGTGTGTAAGACTGTGTGTGAGTGGGGGGAGTGTGTGTATACAAATGTGTGAGTGTGTGCACGCATGTGTGATATTTCATGAGCATGTGTGGGTGAGTGTGACAGGAGAAGCAGTGCAGTGCAGAGGGGGATAGGGTGGGGGCTGGAATTGGGATGGGACAGCCCCCCAGGTGTGAAGTGCTTGGAGCGTACTTGGTGTGAGTTCACGCCAGGCGCCAAGACATGATATTGTGTGTAAGGGTTATTGGGGAGATGCCGGGAGGAAATGGGAGGAAGCAGGAGCAGCCCAGCCTCTCCAAGTGCAGGCAGCGGGGGAGGGAGGATGCTCTTGGAGGTCCCAGAGCCATTGTGAGATGTTGGCCAGGCCCAAGTTGCCCCTTTGAGGAGTTCCCAGTTCTTGGCTGGAGCATCAGCCCACTCTGCTTCCTGTGGCTTGAAGGAGTCCGAGAGTTCGTCACCTAGACTCCAGGAGTGGGTGCTGGTGGTGAAGTTATAGGCTCAGGTCCACGCCCATCCTCTGCCCAGCTTTTGGCAGCAACTCTGCCCGCCACATTTCTGCTTTGCCAGGAGATGGTGCTAGAGGGAGCTGGACACTGGAGAGCAAGAGCGTGCCTGTGACATTCCATCCCTTGGTACTGCATTAAACAGGATAACGGAGCATGAAATTCCATGGCCAGGCTCTGCCCAGGGTGTGCCAAAATTTCCATGACGCGTTGCTGGAACAGAACCCAAGGGCCCTATGCTCAGAGAGGGAGCCACTCCCACGCAGATGTTCCCTAAGACGGCTTGCCCATTCCCCTTGGCCCCTGCTCTGGCTGGTGAGCTTCTACTCACCCTTCCTGGCCCACCTCCAGAGCCCCTCCTCTGGAGACCTGGCTGTGAGGCCCCACCCATGGCTCAGCCCCAACCTGCAGGGGAGGGCAGGCTGGGCTGTCACAGGTGGGCCCTGCAGGATGTTGGCAGCTGGGACACCCTTGTTTATCCAGTTTGCCACCTTCTTGCTCCTAGAAAATACCAGCTGCCCACGCTCAGGAACACGGGCGTCCCTACATCCTGGCTCCTTGCTGCCCAGACAAGTTGGAAGTGGAGCAGCTGGCCCACCCAGGGACCCGGAGTGAATTAACCCTGTCCTCCTTCTCCCAAGTTCCTCCTCTTAAAGGAGCCAGGGAGGCTCAAGGAGAGGCCAGCTGCGACGTGGCCCAGCCAGCAGCTCATTGTGCTGCTGTGTGCACACTCAGAACCCCAGACCCTGAGACTGGGATCCCTCAGTCTCGGTGGTCAGTATAGAGCACTTGAAACTGAGTATAGAGAAGCTGATTGTCTCCCTGCTAAAGGAAAACAGAAGGCAGCAGCGCCAAGGCACGGCGGCCAGGCTCTGAATGGGGAGGAAGGGAGGGAAGAGGCAAAACTAACCAAGGGCAGGTGCCAGAACAACTCGGAACACCAAACTTCCTGCTCATAAGAGAGCTTAAAGAGTCCAGCCAGCCTGATCCCTCCGCTGCTGTTTAAGCCTTCATGAGGCAGTCTGTGCCCCCAGAAACTGGACCGTCTTAGCTTCCCCCACACTCTGGCCATAGGTCCAAAGACTAAAACTGCTGCCAATCTCTATGGCCGGGGCCAGTCAGGGCTCAGAGTGTGACCAGGGTCAGGGCTCAATATGTGACCATGATCAGAGTTCCGAGTGTGACCAGGACCAGGGCTCAGGTTGTGACCAGGATCAGGGCTCAGAGAGTGAGCAGATTCAGGGCTCAGAGTGTGACCAGGATCAGAGCTCAGAGTGTGAGCAGGATCAGGGTTCAGTGTGTGACCAGGGTTAGGACTCTACCTGTGATCAGGGTCAGGGCACAGGAGTCCTCCTTGGTGTATGTAGGCACAGGAGCCCCCCTTTTCTAGCTCCTATCAGACAGCGATGGGCCTGAGTTGAAATTGTGGGTCCTCCCCCTCCCTCCCCAGCCCAGGAGGGAGGGAGAGGAAGAAGTAGGGAGGGAGGGGAGGGCTGAGAGGAGAGAAGCGGAGGAGGGAGGGGGAGTCTGGAGCAGAACTTGGCCTCTGATTCACGTGGAGGTCTTGGGGTTCCTAATGGAGTCAAGGTCTCTTCCTGGAGGGTGGGATCGAGCTCCCCTTGGCTGGAGGGTCCATGCTAGGGGTCTGGTAAAGGGCTTCTCTGCTGCCCCAGTTTCCTACCCTGCCCTGCCCACCTATGGGACGGGGGCCCTGTGCCACTGGGGAGTGGATTCCAATGCCAGGCTGGGGAGGCCACCTGTTAATTGTGACCTAGAGTGGGAGTCTGGGCCTTAATTGGAGAACACCCAGCTTGTAAAAGAGTGAGTTTCAGGTGCTTGATTAGCCTTATGAGGGGCAGTTCCACCCCCTCCTCCAGCCCCTGGAAGCTGGCAACTCGCCAGCTGCATTCCTCTGCTCATCCCCACCCCAGCACAGGGCAGCCCCTCCCCTCCTGCCCTCCCCATGAGAGGGATGGCTCCACAAAGAGGTGGGCCCCTGCCCCACAGGGCTGCAGAATCTTTGCCCCTGAAAGGATTCACGAAGATCAGTATTTCTCAGATTGCCCTACTAGAGGAGAAAAAGCTCTTATGGATCCCCAAGAACGGAGACTCCAATCTGAGAAATGCTGTACACACTGGGTACAATCCACCGACTCTGCCTGTGGGAGAGTTTGGGGATCCATCACCCCGCCTCAACCTGCTCCTCCGCATGGGTTCCTCCCTTGCTTGCAAGTCTCCCCACCGCTCACCTCTGCTTCAAAATGCAGCCCACCTGGTCCCTTCTCCAGGCTGCGGCCGCTGGCACTGGTAGAACCAGGCTGCACACAAGGCCCCCGTGGGTGTTACCCGACTGATCTCAGTGAATGCGGGTCCCCCACTCCCCCCCCCCCCACACTCAACCTCTCATCCCTACGCCCCAGCACCAAGGGCCCAAGCCTGGCACTGAGTAGGGATCAGCGACACCTGAACAAATGATTGTCCATTACCTGGCGCAGGGGTGCCCAGAGCCCCAGGCTCTTCCCCTCCCACTTGGGAGTGCCTCTGCTGCACATTCACACACGCACAGAGGCCTGGACAGGATTACCCAGGTTTTGAGGGTGGGAGAAGGGCAAGAAGCAGGTCTGGGTTCAGTGAGAGAAGAGCCTGGTCACAGTTAGAGCCACCCAAGATGGCCACAGCAGCTTGCATGTGCAGGAGGGGCTCCCCTTCCCAGAAACCCAGGCAGGGCCCTGCCAGGAGAGCTGGAGAGTGCTTCTGGCCCCAGGGCAGGCATCTGGCTCTCCCTGCTGGCCTCTGAGCTAGGTCTGGGCCAGCCCACTGCCTGGCCCTCCAAACAGGGCACCAGTCTCCTGGCAGCAATCTGCGCGCTAACGCACCCTTCCCAACTGCGTGCCCCTCTCAGCAGAGGGAGGAACTTTCTGAGGCCTGTGCTAAGGACTAGCGTGGAGTCTGGGAAGGCATCCAGGCCTCAGAGTCCAATTTTTGTCCCAGGACAGCTCCAAACAGGGCTGGGCTTTGGGCCAGGGAAGCCAGGGGCTGCTGGGTGAGGCCTGGCTCACTGTCACGGCCCATGGCCACAGGATGTCACCAAGCTTTACGGGAGATGGAGTGGGAGAGGTGGAATGGGAGGGGTGGGTAAACGAAGTGGAGTGGATGGTGTGGGAGGAGCTGAATGGAGTAGAGTGCAGGAAGTAGACAGGACAGAGTGGAGTGGATGGAATGGAGTGGATGGAGTGGATAGACTGGAATGGATGGAGTAGATGGAGTTGAAAAATTAGAGTGGATGAAGTGAATGGAATGAGCGGTGTGGACAAAGTGGAGTGGATGGAGTAGAGTGGAAGGAGTATGGTAGATGGAGTAGGGTGGAGTAGAGTGGATGGAATATGGAGTGGATGGAATAGATGGTGTGGATGGAGTGGAGTGGATGGAGTTAAATAAAGCAGAGTGGGTGAAGTGAATGGAATGAATGGCGTGGATGAAGTGGAGTGGCTGGAGTAGATGGTGTAGATGGAGTGGAGTGGGTGGAGTGGATGGTGTGGATGGAGTTGAATGGAGTAGAGTGCATGGAGTGGACACCAAGGTTTGCTCAGCCAGCCTCCCTCCCATCTCAGCACCCAGACATGCACAGATTTCAAGGGAAGTGATGAGAGCTCCGGTTTCTCACTGCCTTTCATTGAGCCCTGTAAGTGGGTTCCTAGTAAGGGTGGGCCCACCCTTACTTTTGGGTGCTGGGGCAAATGGAGGCCCATACTCCATATGGCCAAAAACATCAAACTTCTAAAAGAAGCTAGAAAACCATTAAACTAAAATATCATTGACAAATATGCCACCAAAACAAACAGGACAGTCTAGTGTGAATTTAGATTCTAGGCTCCTTGGTGCTCGTGCTAGGAGGTGGCTGCACAGAGAGAGCCCGCCTAAGCCTCAGACCAGACCCACCTTACATTGCAGGGGTCCCACATACATGCAGGTGACCCCCACAATGTACCAGCTCCACCTCCACCCCCCACCAACAACCAGCCTTTGCCACCCTTGGGCCAAGGGATAAGCACCCAGCAGCTCACCCCATCCTGTGAGTGGACAGAGAAGAAGCCATGGGTGCAGGCTCCAGGCGGGCAGGTCTAGGGCACAGGCCAGGGCAGGGAGTCTAAGAGTGTTCTTGACAAAGTTGATTCCTCCTGGGAGAAAAAGGAGGGAAGGGTGTCCTTGGCGAGGGCCCGGAGGTGTGTGAGCGTCCACCCTGAGGCTGAGGGGAGGGAAGGGAGGCTGGAGGAGACGGAAGAGGCAGGGGAGGCAGAGTCACACAGAGAGTGGGCACAAGTGGGCTCTCGGCAGGCCACAGGGTCAAGGTTGGCAGTGGCTGTGGTCACCGGAGAGGAGACTGCAGCCACCAGAAAAGAGAGGCCGATGGCCCTGGGAGGGGATGGAGGAGAAACACCAGGAGGCGTGGGCTCCCAACCCTCAGCCTCTGGAATCCCAGCCAGACCCAAAACAGGACCAGGCGGCAGCTCACTGTGAGCAGGCCATTTCCTGCATCTCTCCAGGGCACACTTGTCAGCCCAGTCCCGCAAGCCTGGCCTGGAGACGGATGGGCAGTGCTTCAGTGCCGACTGGAACACCCAGGGTGCCCCTCTGGCTCCGCCTGGCCCTGCTGTGCTGGCCCGGCGCATCGCAGCACCCGCACCTCCAGGAGATGCTCAGATCACAGAGTCTCAGGGCCCATTTTACCAGACCCCCGGGTGGCCTGTGTGCTCACTGAAGACAGACGTGCTGGTCCAAAGCCAGCTTCCACTCTGCAGTGCCTCAGTTTCCTCAATAAAATGGGTTTGGTGCCTCCTGCCTGCCCTGGCCCAGGGAAGAGGTGCAGGAGATGGGGCTGTGCTTCCTCAGAAGAGCTCTCGGCAGGGTCGTGACCCCAGAGCCCTGGGCAGGGAGTGTCCCCCAGACCCCAGGGCAGGGTCGTGACCCCCAGACCCCCAAGAGTGGTCTGTCACCCACAGACCACCCTGCCCCTGCCTCCTTCCTTCTCCCCAGTCCACCCTGGGGCCTCATGATAACTGCAGGGACAGGAAGGCCAAAGGCTCAGGACAGAGGGACAGGCAGAGAGTGGGCACAGGTGACCTTCCAAGAGACCTCGGGGCCCCTAGGGATGGGGCAAAAGGAAGTCTAGGCAGCATGAGTCAGACTGGCCTGCTGTCCCAAGCTCATCTCCAGCTAAATTACTAGGTCTGACCCCGGCCGGGAAGCCAGCTGTATAAAGGCACCTGGCACCCGCTGCTCCCCGTCCCAGCTGGTAGATGCCCCACGATGAGGCCGCTCCTGGTGTTTCTGCTTCTGGCTGCTCTGTGCACTGACCTGGGTAAGGGACGCCGACCTGGGTGGGAGGGATGGGGACAGACATGTGCTGGACAGGGCTGGCTCCCATTGGAGGGGTCTGTGGGGTCAGCCTGGATTTGGGGGCTGCAGGGAGTAGTGGGGGAGGCCCTTGTGGCTGCTCCCTGACCAGCCAGACGTGGAGACCTTTGTGTCCTTTTGGGCACAGTTTCTGGTATACCCGGTTCTCGTGGGGTAGAAGAGCCATGTGAGAGGCCAGGGCTGCGGAGCCCTGGGCTGGGCAGTAGGACCTGGGCTCCGGCCGGGGTGACCAATCGTCCTGTTTTCCTGGGATGAAGGGGATTCCTGGGAGGCAGGCCTCTCAGCACTGAAACCTGGAAAATGAGCTGGTCGGCCCCTTCCAGCCGCAGCTCTGCCCCTACCTGAAGACCTGGCTGGCTGTGTGACCGTGAATAAGAGCATCTCCTGCTTTGGGGGCCACCGGAAATGGCGGGGGGGCAGGTACAGCCTGTGATTATCAGCTGAATAATTATCATCAGAGATAATTAACCCCATCAGCTTCCCCTGAGCGTGGGGTGGGGTGGGGTGGAGCCTCTAGCTGTCTGGGGAAGCCCCACGGGGTGGGACCCGAAGCTGGAAGGAGGCACCTTGGGGATCAGTCCCAGCTTCGGGAGGCTGGAAGGACAGATGGAGGGGACATTTGGGCAAGGGTATGAGGCTGGCTCCAGGAACAGGGCAGAGGAGAGGAGCAGCAGGAGGGAGTAGATACTAGGGAGGTCCCAGCGAGGCCCTGCTGGGGTGGGGGGGGGGCGGGTGGCACCCCCTTGTTGGGGCCAAGCTGCGACAGAGGAGGGGGTGGGGCCTGGCCTGTTTCTGTCCTGGGGCTTAGGTTTTCTGGGAGGCTCATGCCAGGACAGCACCTCCCGGGACCTAAGAAGTATTAACCCACTAATTCTCAGGCCAGGACAGCCACTGCTCCCGGGACCTAAGAAGTATTAACCCACTAATTCTCAGCACAGCCCAAGGGCATAGGGACCATCCATGCCCCTGTGGGGGAAACCGAGGAGCTGCAAAGTTCTTCCTCAGAGGAACCCAGGAGTATCTCCCCACTCCCAGCACCCAGGACTTAGCTGCAGACAGGGCAATGAGGAATAGCCAGGGGTCACCCCCACACAGAGAGGCTTATTCTTCTGGGGGGGTTCCAGAACCCTGAACTGGCAAGCATGATCCTGAGCCAAGGGGGAGTGAGGGGGCTTTGGGGATCTGAGCTTGACCTCCTGCTCGCCCGTGATTCAGCCACAAATGCCCCTTCTCTATGCAGGGGAAAGGGCTTCGACATCATGACCCATGTGTGGAAGGTACCACCACCATCCCATTCCACAGGCACCAGCTCTGAAGTCAGAGCCGCCATGCCTTGCTCAGGGCACGCCTACAGGACACCCCCATAGGGCACCCCTCCAAGGGCGCCCCTCCCAGGAATCCCCTTCCTGGGGCACCCCCCACAAGCACTCCCTTGCAGGGCATCCCCACAGCCCCCACAGCCCAGGTAAGGTGCTCCCGGCTTGCCCACCTGACCCCTCATAGCTCCTGGGTCCTCACAGCCTGGTCCCAGCTGGCCTGGCCTCTGCCAAGCTGCACTTTCTGCATCCATCTGTCCGGCTCAGCTCCAGGGCCACCCACTCCAGGAAGCCTTCCCAGATGGTCCCCGCCCTCTATTAAGACTGTATTCCTCTCAGCCAGGTGTCCACAAAGTGTCCGTTGACCCTCTGCTCCATCACGCTCGGGGTTACACACTGGACCTCGGTCGTCCACCCCTGGCTGGCCTGCAGGGTCTCCAGGCCAGGAACCTTGTCCTGGTCCCCCCGTTGTTGGGACCTGAGGCCCATCATAGCACACAGGTGCTGGCCGGGACCAGGGCCTTTTGCTGCAGATTCCCCATCACTCGGCCTGGGAGTGGGGGTCACTGGCTGGCCCCTGGCAGTGAGGGGCAGAGCCATTCCTTCTTGTTAACTCAACAGCCCTTAGCACCTGCTGTGTGCAAGGTCCTCAGAGCCACAGCCACCCTCTGGTCCAGGCGGCAGTCCCAGGCTGGGAGCCCCCAGCGGAGGAGGGTGGGGCAGGAGCCAAGCGCCTCGCGTCATTTCATCCTGCAGCAAGGCTGAACAGCCCTGGCTGCTATCAGTCCCACCTTATAGGTGAGGACACTGCAGCTCACAGAGGGACAGGGATGGTGAGAAGAAGACCCAGATCACCTCCAAAGTCGACCCTCTTTGTATTGCATCATGCTGCCCCGTGCCCTCCTCCATCCCACTGGGGTTGGGGGAGCCAGCCTACAGACACCCATGCCCCAACCTACACCCTCACTCCTGCTGACGTGCGGCATTCACACGCACAGGGCCACAGAGGTGGTGTGGGGGCACATCAGAGTCACCACCACCAAGCCCCTGCCCCTCGGCCCATCCCCCCAGGCCACCCACCAGGATGACCGCTGGAGGCCCCAGCCCAGACGGAGCACAAGCCTGTGCTTCCTCCCTCCCAGCCTGGGCCCCGCACTGCCACATGTGCCGCAGCCCAGGAACGGCAAGCCTCTGGTGGAATGTGCTGATGGACAAGTCTTGTGTGGTTACGTGGGTGAAGGTGTCTGTTCGCCTGCCCCACCGCCCTGTGCCCGGCCCTCACAGCTCCACCCAGCCAGAAGCCGGCCCACGGCCCCCACCCTACCCTGGTCCAGACCCCTGGGGACACCACCGCCCTCCAGCAGGAACCCCATCATGTGGCCCACCCCCAGGCTGTAGGTGGCAGGGACTGATGTGTCCCATGTGAATACTCACATGCAGAGGCAGAGGGTCAGGGATAAGAACCTCTGCCAGCAAGCCTGCAACACTGTCAGAGCAAGGTGGGAAAGCGGGCTCCACAGTGTCAGTGAGAGCGAGTCCACATTAAAGATCCGGGAGGCAGGGAGCAGGTGGTATGCGCATTTGGCAAGACATGAACACAGAGGGAGGCTGAGGCCGACAGACCTGGCCTGGCCATGCACTTCCCCAGCTCCCTGCCGCAGACGCACTGCAGGATGGCAACTCTGTCCTCTCTCTGCACCCGGAACTCCGCCTCCCCCTGCCTGCCCGTACCTGGAACCTGCCTCCTCCGGTTCCCCTCCAGGTCGGCCTCCCCAGCTCCCCCCTACTCCTTCCTTTGGCCTCCCAGGACCACTTCTGTGGGTCTAGTTCATCTTAGAGCCACCGCAGGTTGAGCCGGGGCCCAGAGCTCTTGAGTAGGGCCCAATGGTGACAGTGACAGGCAGGGTCAGGGTGCCGGCGGGGCTATGGAGGTCACATTGTGGGGATCTGAGCAGAGTGAGGAGGTGAGGGTGCTGTCGCCACTGCCACTGAAAGAGGAGGCGTGATATGGTGAGGGGAGTCCTGCACAGCCCTGTGCATCCCAGAGACCCTGCGCAGGCAGCAACGCCCATTCCTACGGCAGGATGAGGAGGCTGCTGCCACATGGGGTGGGGATGGGAGCCCGGAGGTGTGAATGCCCGCTGGCTCCCTGTGCCATCCTGGGAGATGGGCATGGAGGGGGCTGTGCAGCCTCTGGTCTCAGATCCACTGGTCAGCCGCCAGCAACCCTGGGCCTCAGCTTCTGTGGATCCGCCAGTGGGGGACAGGGAGGGGGGGGTGCCTGAGAACACCTCCCCTGCTGCAGTCCTCATGGCAGAGGCGGCAGTCTTACCTGTAACCAAGGCAGACACACAGCCCTGCAGAGCCCCAGGCCCGGGGCGTTAGGCCATCCCCCGGTTCTGTCCTCCAACAGCCCCCGCTGAATATCCTCTTTCTCAGCCGAGAAGCCTGGAGCTCAGAGCCCGCCCAGCAAGGCGGTGGCCAAGCTGGGTAACTGTCCGCACACGCTCCCCAGCAGTAACTCAGAGGCGGGCTGGCAAATGCAGCCCTCCATAAACACACAGCTCCTTACTTAAATAACAGCTCCCAGCAGCGACCAATCATCGCGTTTAACTGAAGAACTCGCTAGGGGGACGAGAGGTAAAGAAACGCACTGTCTGGTGTCCTGCCCGGCGCTGTCTCCGGCTCGGGGAGGAGGGTACGTCCACAGAGGTGGCTTCCTGAGGGCTTGGGAACTGTCACCCACCCTGGCGAGTCCGAGGCCCCTCACAGGGGCCCCTGCTGGCCTCTGACCCTCTCCTCAAGTGGACACAGCTCTGATCTCAGGAGCTGGCAGCTCTGTCCCTGTGCTTTGCCAGAAGGGGCTGTGTCTTCCCTTCCTGGCACTGCAGCTCTAAACACCGCTGCTCACTAAACACGACGGAAAACTGACAAGGACTCAAGGCCGTCGCAACACTACTCATAAACTAACCCATCTAAGGCCCAGACTATTGCAGAGGTCCATTCTCTTATTACCCACATCTTCTGGATGAGGAAATTGAGGCAGAGAGATGAGGTGCCTGGGGACAGACACCCCAGCCCCACTCCCGGCTTCTGGGCCAGCTGTGAAGGAGTCCCCTTCCATCAGGGTCCTGGCTTCAAGCACGTTCTGAGTGGTACGGGTTGAGGGAAGCAATTTGCATTTACCCAGCACCCTGGGTTCCGAGCAGCCTGCACCCAGCATGTCAGGGGCCCTCTTCAGCTGTCCCCATGGCACAGTTGCCAAAACTGAGCCAGTGAGCGAGTCTAGCACAGAAGAAGGCGTCTTGCCCGTGGCCCCAGTCCACGGGCCCTGCTTGCTCCCCAGGGGCCCCTGCTGGGCCCTGCCTCCCCGCGCTGGAGATGGGTGGGCAGCAGCCTCCCTCGGCAAGTTCAGTTCCCCTTACAGGACGTGGTGTTGTAAAAGCAACTGTGCGGGCCGCTGTGCCCTGCAATCCCTCAGCCACCATTTCCTAAGATTCTCCAGTCCCAGAAAGGGACGAGGGGTGAGCGCGGGGCCTGGTACTTCTTCTGGACCCTGAAACCCAGAGCAGAGAAGCGCTCACAGATACCTGTCAGAAGGAGCTGAGTGCAGACAGACTGTGCATGGGGAGACACTGAGTCACTCCCCCGCCCCCGACCTGTCACAGAGGAGCCTGGCTGGAGGGGGAGAAAGGACTCCTCAGACCCACAGGCACCAAAGAAGGAGGCCCCGCCAACAGCGGAAGGCTCTTTAGGACACGCACATGCAAGTTCCTAGGAGCCCCGGAAGTGGGCTGTGCCCATGGTGCTGACGGTGCTGGGCTGCAGGGCCTCCTGAGGGCCAGCTGGGTGGGTGGCACAGGGAGCACGCCACCTATAGGCCCTCGCCCCTCTCTCCACAGCCAAGCCCAGCGGCATCCTGGTCATGAAGTCCTGCACCCCGACGTGCCCCAACAGCACTGTGTCCTCGGATGGCTGCTCCGTCTCCGTCTCCTGCTGCCAGGGCAACCAGTGCAACCACAGTGGAGCTGCGAGCCTGGCTGGTGGCCATGGAGCCCTGTGGGTCGGCGCGTCCGTCAGCCTGCTGTGGGCGCTGCTCCGGGCGGCCTGGTGAGCGCAGCTACCACGGGCCAGCCCTGGATCTGGCCTGTCCCCTCCCAGCCTGGACTCAGGCTGCGGGGGTCTGTCTCCAGCCTGCAAAGCTCCCAGCACAGCCCCAGCCTGGCAGGAAGAGCCCTGTCTCACTTGTCACTCCTCTCTGCTTCCCCCAGGCCACATCCGCGCCCTCAGCCTCCTACCCCAGGGAGGGACGCTCCCCACCTGCCTCAGGGAACCCACCAATGTGGAAAGCCAGGGGGGCATGTCTCCCCCAGGCCTGTACCTCCGAGGGACCCTCAGCTGTCTCCTGGGGTCCTGGGGTCCCCCCGGCCATCCGGGAGTAGGAAGAGCACTCCAATTCTCCCCAGCACCCTCCACCCCTTTTCAGGGCCTTCTGCCAGGGAGGCCTTCCCATCAAGCCCTGCCTCGAAGGAGACCCCTGTGCCCCATGGCCACGGGGCCCCTGGGCCTCCTCCTGTGCCTGGAGCCGCCCGTGCAGGAGGAGGCGGGTTGAGGGTTTGGGTGTTGGGTCTCCCAGGCTTTCTATTCACTCCACCAACCACTCCTGTGCTCCCTCATTCATTCATTCATTCATTCATCCGTTGGCCCATCCACTTATTCCCTCCTTCACTCATATTCATTCATCACAAACCCATGGGGCTTCCTTGGAGCCAGGTGCCCCTTGGAGCCAGGACCTGCCTCCCAGGCTGTCACTCAGGGGCTCAGTGTGTGACCAGTGCCCGAAGTCCAGGGATGGGACAGGGAGTCCAGAAGGCCACCAGCACCCCTGCCACCCCCTGCCAGCTGAAGGCAGGCCTTTCCAATGGACCCCTGGCTGCTTGCTGCAGGGTGGACCAAGTCACCTAGGGGACCAGTGTCGGGTGTCGGGATTGGAGGGGGGTGTCCATTCTCACAAGGCATGGGTGCCATCCTACCTCCCCCAGGGGCACCCTCTGCCAGCCCACCTCCCAGGATCTCTGAGAGGAGAATAAAGCTGCACGTCCTCCTTGTCCTCATTCTCTGAGATGTCGAATCTGTGGGGTTTTCCTGTCCTGGTCCTCCTGAGTGGAAGCTCCCTGGACCCCAGGGGCAGGCAGGGGCACTGTGCAGAGTGGGGTGGAGCTCTCAGCGCACAAGCTTGGGTGGAGGGGAGCCTGCTTTCCTCTTGGCTGAGAAGCCAGCATCTATTCCAACCTCCTGGCCAGGGTGGCAGAAACATGCTTTCAGTAAATCCCAAGTTGGGGGCTCACAGGGGTCCTCTGAGGAGTCCCTCTGAGCCTTGGTGTCGCCCAGCATATGTGCTCAGCCCCACAATGCGTCCCAGCACCCCCCACTGTCCTGCATGCCCATTGGGGCACAGACTGGCGCCAGGGCTCTTCCTGGGGGGCAAGACCAGAGGCCCCTCAACTCTCCAGGAGCTTTCCTCCCTGCACCTCTGCCTGGGGCCCCTCCGCAGTAACCCACCCAGGTCCTCGCGCCCATGGCACCCACGGGGTCTCCCAGCCTGCAGGGGTCCTCCCCTGGCCCCCTGCCTCCTCCCTGCTCTTTCAAGTCCTTTCCCTGACGCCTCCACCCTTCCCTTCAAAACTCTAACGGAGGAAGACACAGCCTCTCCCTTTCCCCACCTCTCTGTCCCTCACATCCCTTCCCTGGTGACAAGGACAAACATCCAGGCCAGGTGAGTGGGGACAGGCCTCTCGCCTGCCCTGCAGAGCTGGGCTGCCTCCCTCGACAGGCATGGGCCTCAGTTCCTCCGGGAACCGAGGAATCCGGCGGCAGGTGGGCAGGCCAGACAGGCAACCTCCCGTACCCCTGCTCTCCCCCCCACCTCCACCCCTCCCACCGCTGCCCGGCCCAGGACGTTCCCATGCTCCGCTCACTCACCCTAAGGGACAAGGCCCTTCCTGTTCCCAGCAGCCACCTGTCTAGCCTTGCAAGACTGCTGCCCCCAGCCTGTGTGCCCAGCCCGCTGTCATCCCCTGTGCCTGTGACACTGCTTTGGTGGCCATTCCACTGTGGGGCATGGTGCTCCCAAGGTGCGTGGAGACACAGAGGGCTCGGGCCCATGGGAGGGGCCTTCTTGCAGGGTTTCTGCCAGCTATGTCTGCCCCTTGGGTGTCTATAGGGCAAGGCGGGCTGAGGGGGCCTTGCCTTGAAACAAGGATGTCAGGGTTCCCTTGGGGCCCCTCTGATCCTCCAGCACAATCTCCCTGCATGACCAGGCTGCCGGGCTCTGGGGACATAGGAGGAGGTGGTCTGGGGTCCGTGTGGCATGGCCATCACAGGAATGAAGGTGGGGCTCAGGGTTGGGTCACCCCACCCGGCCTTGGGTGCTTGGGGTTTCTTATCTTAGGAGAGTGGAACTTTCCTCTCCTGACTCTCCTGTCTGACGAGCTTCCCTCTGGGGCAGCCCCACCCCTACAAGTCCCAACGCAAAACCACGCTGGGCACCGCCTGACAACCACAGCCTCCTCCTCTGAGAGCATCTGCAGTCAGAAGTCAGCATGGGGCCAGGAGCCTGTTTCCACACGAAGACATTAGTCTTCCCTAGCTACAGAGGAGGAAACTGAGGCACAAAGAGCTTTCTGGATTCACACTTGGGTTGGCAGAGTGGTCTGCACCCAAGCCTGAGTTCTCTCCATTCCCCCAGCCCCTCCCCCAAGACACTCAGGCAGTGTCTGTGTCCCAGGATGGTGTGGGCACTGGTACACCACGGTGACAGAGCAGACGTGGGGGCCACAGCCTGCAAACTGACCAACAAAAGTGGGCCCACAGCTCCTGACAAGGGCTATGGAGGAAGCTGGGGTGGGGCAGGGGCCGGCTGCCTCCCAGAGAGGAGGTTGTGGCTGCAATCCTGACCCTGGGAAGGCCATGGGGACAGCAGATGCACAGGCTGGGAGGGAGGATGGCTCGGGACTGCAGGGAGACCCATGCGGTGGGAACACCGAGGGTGGGCAGCAGGTAGGCCAGCGGCAGGGCTCGTGGGCAGCAGGACAGGGGGCTGGGTTTGACCCTGAGAACACCAAGTGCTAGGCTGCCGGTGTAGCAAGGAACATTTCTGAGTAGTGTGGGAGTGGGGCCGCAAATCGAGGGCTCAGGCTGCAACCTGTTACTCCTGCGAGGCCCGAGGCCCGAGGGAGGCCTGGGGAGGAAGGCAGGGAGGCAGCAGGAGCCCAGGGAGCTGGGGCTGAGGTGCGAGGAGCAGCATCCCCTTCCCTTTGGCTCCATGTGTCTCGTTCCCTCCACCCAGCATCCCCGGCTCCCTCCTTATGTAACATTCCCAGGTTGGGATGACACAGACCCCTTGATCCTCTAAGCTCTTGTGATCGTAGCACTGAGCTGCTTGGCAGGGCCCAGCGTGGGACCCACCTCCCTCCCCTGGGGCCTGTCCCCACACCCAGAGCAGCTGCAACAACATGCAAAACCCGGGGCCATCAGGCTGAGCAGAGAGTGGCTGAGCTGGGCTCTTCCAGACTCAGAGCTCAGCAGCCGACTGAGGCCAGAGGAGCAGAGGCCAGGCCTCCCAGGGACAGTGCGCCAGGAGTCTCCAGGCCACCGGGCTGCTGCAGATGCAGCCCTGCAGGCTCCCATCCTCCTGTCCTTGGACAAGTGTCAGGAACCCCATCTGTAAGATGCAGGGTTCGGACAGAGGCTGTCCACGGCTGACATCTGGTCTCACTGGACAGTTGAAGTCCTCCCCACACACACTTTGGAAGACAATAGTCCCAATCTGAGAATTTTGTCAGCTGTTTCCAAAAAATCTTTTTTTTAATTCCAGGTTGTCCTAGCAATGTTTTGGTGGGGCTTAAGGAGTGGCAGCACGCAGCAAGGAGCGATTTTCTGTTCCCAAGGGACAGGGGATAAAGTGACGGGGCTGCCGGGGTGTCAAGGAAAGGAATTTAGACCTCTCTGTGTAAGAGATACTTGTGCCAAAGACAGACAGAGAGACCGACAGGGCACGTGATATACCTAAAACATTGACTTCCCTCTTAAGGGTTAGGATCAAGGATGTCCTCCCAAAGCCCCCCTCCCCCAAGTTAGCACATAATCTCAAGTAAAAAGGGCGTGTCTGCATGTCGGGGGTTGCAAGTCCCAGAGCTTCCCGCCAACCACCTGCTGACCTGAGGCTTTCCAAGCCCCCCAGGTTTCAGTCCATGGTCTTTGAGAATCACTGTTTTCTCTTGTCAGGGGCAGGTATGCGTGTAAATAAGAAAGGCAAGAGGGGACAGAAGAGAGAGACACCATTGTAACTATCTCCTAGAGGACATAAGTGGTATGAGTGAATGAATAGATGGATGGATGGGTAGATACGTGGATGGAGGGGTGGGTGGGTGGGTGGAAGGATGGGTGGATGGATGGACGGATGGATGGGTGGATGGGTAGATGGATGGATGAGTGGATGGATACATGGATGGATGGGTGGGTGGGGATGAATGGATGGATGATGGATAGGTGGATGGATGGGTGGGTGGATGGATGAGTGGGTGGGTGGATGGATAAGTGGGTAGGTGGATGGATGGATGGATGGATGGATGGATTGGTGGATGGGTGGATGGGTGGATGGATGGACAGATGGATGGGAGGATGGGTGGGTGGATGGATGGGTGGATGGATACATGGTTGGATGGGTGGGTGGGGATGAACGGATGGATGATGGATAGGTGGGTGCATGGGTGGGTGGGTGGACGAGTGGGTAGGTGTTGGGAGCAAGTAAGGGCAGGGGAGTGAGGAAGGAAAGTGAGGAGGGCTCCATATTCTACCCTGGAAACTATACCCACACCGTCGTGGACCTCAACCATTCACAGCTCCAGGCTACAAGAGGAGGTACAGTGGGCCAGGCATAGCAGAGGAGAGAACCCAGGGGTCTAGCATGGGCACACACCCTCTGCCCTTACCTAGAACCCTGGAAGGAGCTTATCCTAGCCTGGGGAGGGTCACACTCCAGAGGACGCGCCTCTCAGGCTCATTGGGTCTGCCCCGCCAGGGCTCCACGTTCTACAAGCCCACCCTGCAGGAGCCTGCAGTCCTGGGACTCCGAGGTCTCCATGGTCGCTGTGTCTCTGTGTCTTTGTGCCCGTGCCCTTCCAGAGGCCCTCTCCACCTACTTGTGAACTCTGCTCACACTCTGAGGGCTGCTCCCACATCACCCAGACCTGAGTCCCAGGGCCTCTCAGGGACACAGCCAGAGAAGCCTACAGTCAGAGCCCACGTGGGGCTCCGTCAAGGGTGAGCCAGTGCAGTCCTCCATGCCGGCGTGCGCAGGGACCCTGGGGGCTCTCTCAGGGAAGTCGCCTGCCAGGCCTGAGAACTGGTTTGTCTCTCTTGGCCCCCAGGAACCTAGGGCTCCGGTCTAGCCATGCCCAGGAACGGGTTGCACCCCCAGGCAGGGAAGGGGGGCCCAGGCGGCTGCCCCCTGGCTTTGCCCTCTGGGAGAGCTGGAAAGAGAGGCCCCATGTGGACAAGGGGCCAGCGCAGAGGGCAGAGCCGGCCTGGAACCCCAACCCCTGGCCCAGCCCAAGGACATTAGCGGCACCCATAAGCCCCACCTGGCAGCGAGGGGAGGGCAACTCCGGGTAAGGGCTGCTGTGGCCAGGGTCCCAGGGGCTGATCTAGGACAGGGGGGCCATGTCAGAGCCTGGGAAGCAGGTGAGAGAGACCCATGCTGAGGCCACGGCTCTCTGGGTAAAGGTGAGTCTCCTGTGCCAGGAAGGAGTGGGAGGTCCAGGCATAGGGTAACAACTCTGCCTCCCACTCACTGGCCAGCGACCCTGGGCAAGGCCTTGCCCTCTCTGTGTCATCCGAGGGAGGCCCGTCTACATGCGCAGGTGTGAGACGGAAAGTGACAGAGCAGGCCCGAGGGAGACACTGCATCGCTCCGGAGGGTGCCTGACTCACGAGGCAGTCACCTCGCCCCTGCTGGGAAGGAGGGAGAGAGAGAGGAGTGTGAACCCCCCGGGGCCACATGGGGCTCAGGCTCAGCCCTGACTCCCCTGCCAGGATGTCCTTCCCTGTTCCACCTTTCAGAGCCCCCCCCCCCACCCCCCGCTCCGCCAGGTCCCTCGGCCTCTCTGATTGGCACACGTGTGGGGGGGGCCACCACAGAGCATCACTTGCCTCTCTCCCATTTCCCCAGCTGCTCCGGGGGCCTGAGGGCCGGCCCATCTCTCTCCTCTCGCTCTCTGATACCCCTCAGTGCTGGCTTTCGGTGGGAGCCCTAACCCTCGTTGAATGGAGGAGTGAGTGAATGGAAGAACGGAGCACCCAGGCAGACGGAAGCGTTTTGGCATTTCTTGGGTGTGGCAGGGGCCAGCACTTGCCCATGTGGCAAGCAGGAACATAAGAAGCCTTGTCCTGAGGCCTCGAGGTTTGCGGGTGCCTCCAGCCAGGGGACCTGACCTGTCAACCCTGGTGCACACCCTCAGCCAGGGCAGGAAATGGGGGTCTTCCAAGGGCTGCACTTCCAGAAAGCCTGATGTGGCTGCTGTGCGTGCTGAGCCAGGCCCCTCTCTGGGCCACACCCCTCTGCGTGACCAGGTGGCTGGACAGCCTGGAGCTCTGGGCCTGGATCGCTGCCTCACCCCCACTCCAAGGCCAGACCTGGGGAAAGCACTGGAGGGCAAGGCGTGGGGAGGGGGCATGAGGGCTGCAGGAAGAGGTCTGGGCTTGACCAGGCACCTGGCTTGCTAGACAGTCAGGTCTAGGGACCTGCCGGCTCCAGGGACTGAGTGAGAGGGCTCAGGTTCCAGAAAGCAACAGAAAGGGAGGAAGGGAGGAGAGGCCAGTGGTGGTAGAAAGAAGTGCCAGGTCCTGCCCCACTGCCCTACAAGATCATAGCCAGGTCACCGCCTGCAGGAAGCCCTCCCTGAGTGCACTGTCCCAATGACTCCCCATTCTCTGAGGGCTCCTGCCACCAAAATCACCCACTTTCTCCCACAAGTAAACTGTCTAGGTTTTGCGAGGAAGTCCCTAGGTCAGGTGGCTCCCATCCTCGTGGGCAGCCCTGCCAGGGACAAAGGCCTTTCTCCCGTGGGACCAGAACCCAGCTGCCACCTCTGCTCTGGTGTCTGGCCCTGTTCCAGGGCACATGGCCACAGTGACGCCTGAGGTGTCCCGTGGGGGTGGGCAGGTGTGGAGCGGGCCCCTCTGGCCCCAGGTGCAGGGAGCCCTCTGCCCAGCAGCCTCACGTCCAGACCTCCACCCCGACCTGGCAGGCCTGGATGCTGCAGCTCCACCAGGCCCATGGGGAAATCCAATCCCCCGAACCTGTTTTTCCAGCAGCTTCCATGCCCCTCGCCTGAGTGAGTCACCCCTCCCCACCTGCATCTCCCACCCCATGCCAGTCACCACCCTGTCACTGAGCCCTGTGTCAGAAGCACCCTCCCTCCCACCTGCCGTGAACGGCTGTGCTGATTGTGGGAAGGCCGCGGAGCACGCGGGGACTTTCCCTCTCCAGGTGTGGGCATGGGGACCCCACATTACCTGCCTTGTCAAGGGAGACTCCAGCTGCCCTGAGCCAGCCTCAGGAGCCTGGGAACAGCCCACAGGACAGGCAGCCTTCGCAGGCTCCACGGGCAGGGGATGTGGAGCTGCCTTGGGCTTCCTGCCTGCACCCCGCCCTGCTCCCCCAGGGTCCCCGAAGGCACCGCCACACCTCCCCTCCAGCTTTGTCCAGGTGCTGCCGGGTCCAGAAACTGCTTCGGGGGGACAGCACATCCTGGGAACCCTGTGATGCCACCCTAACTTTACCACACGCAGCTGGAGATAGGTGAGGCCCAGCTCAGGAGCTGCCTCACCCAGGGACAAGCCGGGAGGAAGGGTCAGGGGGCCTGGAGCCAGATCTGACTGGCCTGAGCACATGGTGCTCCCAAGAGCCTTAGACTGGCTCCAACCCCCGCCCCACAGCCTAGGGCCACCCTCCTTGCAGCAGGCCCTGCCTCACCAGTCCTTGTGGCACATGTCCAGTGGCAGGGATGGCGCCCAGGCCAGCCCAGGGCTGTCTCTATCTGTGCCCTGGCCCCACTCACCGTTGGCGTGGCCCTCCAGGGCAGGGACAGGACAGGCCTCTGTGGGGCCCAGCCACACCACCCAGCAGGGGCTGCCCGGCACAGCAGAGCAACAGTAGGGTCCCAGGGCCAGCAAACAGAAAAGGACCCGTGGAGAGAGTGCAAAGGGAGAGGGTTCCTGTGCTCAGAGTCCCGAGTCCCTCCCAGGAGCACTGCAAGAGGGTGAGGGTGGGAGGGGTCTGCCCAGCACCCACCGGTGGACCCTGCCCCCAGGACCCTGGGCCCACCACCTGCCAGTACCAGAGCAGAGATGCGGAGAGCAACAGGCCCAAAGCAGGACGGAGGCAGCTGCTCTTCGCACAGGGCTGGGGTGGGGAGCACGGAGGAGGAAGCACTTGATGGGGTGGGGTCCTGAGGCCCCGGAAGGGTGGGAGGCAGGGTTGGGGGAGACAGGACGGACCTTCGGTTCACCCTGTGCAACGAGGGCTTCAGCCTTTGCCTCCACGCCCCGCCCCTCCTGTGATGCATCAGGTCCTGCTGGGCTCACCTCTCTGCAGGCACATCTGCAGCCTTGTTCCTGCTGCCCCCAGGCCCCAGGATGGCCTCTCCTCCCCTCCCTATTCCTGGCTCCCCACTTCAGCACGGTGCAGTGCTTCCCCTGGGCTCCTTTCCTAGGGCTCCCCTGCGTGGACCTAGCAACCCTGGCCCAGAGCCCAGGCAGGCAGGGCCAGTGCCTCCTCCTGCCTCCTTGGCTCCGTGGGCACAGACCTGGGCACCCACAGGGCACCCACACAAGCTCGTGACTCTGTGACCCTGTCTGAGGGTGGGCAATGCAAGGAAGGGGGTGGAAGATCAGAGACAGCGTGATCCAGGAGCGGACAGAGGGCTGGAGAGAGGAAGATGTGGCAGTGAGCTGCAGTGTCAGTGGAGGTCTCTGTCCACAGCCTGGAGAGGGGGAGGCAGACCCCTGCCCTGGGAGGAGGCTGCCAGGGGCAGAGGTCCCCCCAGCTGGCAGGGCCAGGCAAGTGCTGGGCCATGGGTGTGGGCCAGCCAGGGTGGGGCAGGTCCCTGTGGAACGCTGCTGCCTGGCAGACTGCCCACCCCCGCCCCTCCTGCCAGCACCTGTCCCAGCTATAAGGCCTCCCAAAAGGAGGGGCCCCCACTGCTCCCAGAGACGCCCCGAGATGAAGACGGCCCTGCTGCTCCTTGTTGCCCTGGCTGTGGCCGCTGGGCCAGGTGAGGGACTGACGAGGGGGCTGGGGTGGCGGTGGGCAGCACTGGCCAATGGGCCAGACACTGGAAGCCTGGAGTTATTGATCTTTAGGCACAGAGAATCCTGAAACTGTAGGGTGCTAGACTCAGAAATTAAAACAAAATGAATCCCATATCCGGCCCATGCCCCTCCTGCTCCCCAGGGCCCCCCGGACAGCCTTTTCTCCCACAGGCTCAATGCGGCCAAGCTGACGGCCCCTAGGGCCCCAACCCAGCCTCAGGTCCTCAGAACCATGAGCTGCCCACCCAGAGATGCCCCTGGAGTGGGGGACTTAGCAGGTCCCAGAGCTCTCTGGTGCCCTTGGAGAAGGGGCTCCATGCACCTTGTCCTGGCCACCTCCTCACCATTCCTCTAGACATGCCTAGCACAGGACACCTCCTCCAGGTGGGTGACAGGGACTGTCACCTCCTGGCTGCTGAGGCTGTGTGCAGGACATCAGCCCTGACAGGGCCCGGGGACCTAAGAGGGGACTGGCCTAGGGCAGGAGGGGCAGAAGGCTCTGTCCAGGAGGGGTCTTTTGGGGAAGTGAACCCCAGCCTCCCTGTGTCCCTGAGAGGCCTCCCTGGGGCTGGCTGAGACCTCTGCCACCCTCGCCGCCCCCCAGCCCAGGCTCTCCGCTGTCACGTATGCTCCAACTCCATGAACTGTAAGAAACCTCAGACCTGCTCACCCGGCTCGCGCTACTGCAGGACCATGTCCAAGAGTGAGTGATCTAGGGGCACGGGGCCAGGGAAGGGTGCCCCTGCAGGCCACCTTGGAGCTCTGCCCAGGTGTCCCGGGGCTGGGGGACCATCCTCGGGGAGGCTGGTGGGAGTGACGTCAGGGGCGGCTTGGTGGTGGTGGCCAATGAGGCTGGGAGCTGGGATTTGGGGTGCCATGGATGATGCAAGCTGGGTGAGGGGTGGGGGTCGGAGGCAGCCGCCAGCCTGACCATGCCCACCTGTTCCCAGTGGAGCCCCTGTCGGGGAACCTGGTGGAGAAGGACTGTGTGGAGTCGTGCACGCCCACGCACGGCCTGCAGAGCCAGGTCAGCAGGGGCACAGCAGTCACCCTGTGCTGCCAGGAGGACCTGTGCAACGAGAATCTGCAGAGCAGCGCGCCGGCCCGCACCCTGCCCACCGGTGCCACCCTCGGCCTGGCCCTGGCCCTCGGCCTCGTCGCCCTGATCTTGGGCCCCAGCCTGTGACCCCCCAGCGCAAGGGCTCCTGAACCTTTCCCAGGGCTTCCATGCCCCTCCCACCCTTCCCTTCCCTGCCCCGAGGGACTCCACGGCCCCCTCCCTGGCCATGACGGGGGCGTTCAGACACCCTGGGTTGGGGGCTCCCTCAGAAGGGCTCGGGCCAGGCCGTGCGGGCGTGGAGAGCTGATGACTTGAAGCCACTCTCTCCCCTGAGACGAGAGGATGCCCCTCCCTGAGCAGTGTGGAGGGCAGGGGACAGAGGCATTCTGACCCCTTCTGATTTCATATTCATTCTGTTTGGTTTCTGTTTATTTTTCTACTCACACCGCTGCACAGGAATAAATGATTGAAAATCAGTCTGGTTGTGTCTGTGCTATTCCAGGAGTCAAGAGGGTGGGCGAGAGCATCAGGCCACACAGGCCCCCAAGTCCCAGGGCTTGTCACCCAGGGCCAGACACAGCAGCATGCACGATGCCTGAAATGCAGTCACGCCTCACCCTCAGAGGGAACATGACCCTCTCCAGTCACCTCCTCGGAAACTCCAGAAGAGGAGGGCGCCCCTGGGGAGGCGGAGCAGGGCGCAGGGCTCCGGTGGCCTGGAAGGCCAGGCCTCTCCCACATGGAGTGGTCAAGGAAGAAGGGCTGCCCCTCTGCCCCTGGGTGTGTCCTCACACCTTGGTCCCAGAGTGTCCAGAGAGGCCGGCTTGGGACACCTCAGACTGTGCTGTGCCTTGGAACTGTGGGGACACTGACTGCCCCAGCCACAGCCAAGGTAAGTCCAGCTTCCTAGAGTTGACCCCATCCAGGTGAGCCTCGCAGCTCCCATGGCCAAGCTCACCAGGGTGCAGAGAGATGGGGTGTGTGTGTGTGTGACTCTAACCATTTGGGTTGCATGCCAGGAGAGCACAGCCTCTGAGGGCCTGGGCTCTGGGTCCCTCTGCCTGGGTTCTTGGCCCCACTGCCTGGGTTCTGGGTCCCTCTGCCTGGGTTCTGGGCCCCACTGCCTGGGTTCTGGGCCTACTGCCTGGGTTCTGGGCCCCACTGCCTGGGTTCTGGGCCTACTGCCTGGGTTCTGGGCCCTCTGCCTGGGCTCTGGCCCTCTGCCTGGGTTCTGGGCCCTCTGCCTGGGCTCTGGCCCTCTGCCTGGGTTCTGGGCCCTCTGCCTGGGCTCTGGCCCTCTGCCTGGGCTCTGGCCCACTGCCTGGATCTGGACAATGTGAATCATGGTACCCCCGCAAGCACCCAGCACCCAGCACCCAGCAGATGCCCAAGAAGCAGCCCTTCCCCTCCTAAGAGGACCAGAGGCTTCAGGGGGCTGGCCCCACTTTCCAGGCAGCAGCCACCACACTCAGGCCTCGCCATGGGTCAGCACAGAGCCCCAACTCCCACCAAGCCTGGCACCCGTGCGGGCGTGGCCTGGGAAATCCTGTGGTGGTCTCCCCACCCCAGCAGACAGTGGAAGGAGTGGCAGCTGCTGAGGAGGGTTTCTGGACCCTGGGGTCAGTCCCTCACCTCTTAACTCCATAGCCGGTGAGATGTCTCTCTCCCCAGTCCCTGGGGCTCTGGATGTTTGTAAGGGGAGGGGCGATGGCGAGCTTCACCCTTCACCAGGCGGCCATCCGTCGTGCCGTCCGGGATGGGGGCCACCGTGGAACCCCTCCCTGGAGGGCTGCCTGCCCCTCTGCCGCCCCGCCCCGCGCCCCCTACGAGCCCCTCCCACACCGCTCTAGGCCCAAACCCCGCTGGCCCAGGATCGCTCCGGAGCCGTGCTGTCCTGACGCGGTCATCTGGAGCGAGCCGCTCCACTGCCGAGTCTCGGTTTCCTGCGCGTGCCCTTGGCACCCACGTGGAACCCAGCGCCCCTCAATGTCACCTGTGGCCCCGGTCAATGGCCTTGGCACCCTCTGCAGGGCTCTCCCCTCGGTGCCCCCAGGGGCTGCGGTCGCGCCCGGCGCTCCCGGCATCTTCCGAGGGCGGGTCCTGGGGCTGGCGCACCCCCTGGTGGCCACGGGAGAGCCGGGCGTTGGGAAGATGCCGCGCGCCTCTTCCCGGGCTCGGAGCCCCTCTGGCGCTCAGCCCCCGGGCGCAGCGGGCAGGGACTGGAGAGGTCGGAGTCGGAGGTCGGGCGGAGAGCAGAGGGGCAGGGCGCGCAGACGTGTGGAAACCAAGCTGCCGTCCCCCAGCTGGCCGGCCGCGTAGCCGGGATTTGAATCGAGTCCAGGGGGCCAGGGACGGGAAAGGAAAGAGATAAGGAGGAGGCCCAGTTAGCGTGACGGTTACCATGCCCACCTCAAGGCTGAGCTACAGACGGAGGTAAAAAATTGCGTTTTAGCCTTGACTGTCGCCAGATGGCCGGAGCACGGTGTGGTAGACTGTCCCCGCAGTTAGGGCACATAGGAAGCCCCGGGCGCAAGATACACTGGAGCTGGAAAGGGCGACCCATCAGAACTGGACTCGGCCTTAGCCTTGCATGCTCTGCACCTTTTGCCTTTCTACACCAGCCGGCTACCCCTCCTGACGGTTAAGTTCTCGCGCTCCGCTTTGGCAGCTGGGATTCGCCGGTTCGGATCCCAGGCGCGGACCGAGGCACCCCTTATCAAGCCATGCTGTGGCAGGCGTCCCGCATTTAAAACAGAGGAGGATGGGCACGGATGTTAGCGCAGGGCCAATATTCAAAAAAAAACCCAGCCACCCCTAGACCGAGAAGGGGCTCACTTAGCAACTTGCGGTTGAGGAGTACTTTCCTGGTTTTAATAAAGCCTCTTTTTTCTTTAAAACTTATCTTTGCTTGTAAAGCTGCTCGTTTTCGGTTAACACTTCTGGCCACGAGGATGAGATGTGAAGTGGCTGCCTGATCTCCTCCAGAGCGCGACTGGACACTGTGTGCCGGCACACCCCCCAGCCCCTTAGCGGCTCCTCCGCGTCTCCAGCGGCCTCAGGGAGACCGCCAAGGTACCGCCCTCTCACGTCCTGACCTCTCACGCTTTGGGGCGGGGGGAGGGGAGGGGGGAGGGGGAGGGGGGGAGGGGAGGGGAGGGGGAGGGGAGGGGGAGGGGAGGGGAGGGGGAGGAGGGGGAGGGGAGGGGGAGGGGGGAGGGGGAGGGGGGTGGGTCTCGAGGCGCTTTAAGGAGGGAATCCCTCAGTTTCAGGTTTCTTTAAGGTTTAGCCGGCTTAAAAGGAGCTTTCTCCGTTCGGGATGGCGCCTTTTGTTCTAAAGAGGCAGCAAATAGCCACCCGTCTGCCGCCACTCCTGCGGCCTTTATGTACAAAAATTATGGACCAAACGCTTGCAAGTTCCTTGACACCTGGGTTCAGATCACTTGAGATGATCTAAAATTTCGTTGGCCACAATGGAGCTCCTTCGATATCCCCAAATTGGTTTATTTCGGTGCCCATTTTGAAAAGAGCATATCACACCCCTCAAAGACAATAGGAAGCCTGTTTTAATTTTTTGAGGCTTCCAAACGAGATCAGGAATCTCTTACTGCCTCTTTAAAAGAAAATAATTAAATAAGAAACACACCAGATTAGAGGGTGTCAGCTGCATCAGCGACCGTGCTAGCAAGACAGAACCAAATCTGCACTCCTGTCTCCTTTCTCGCTGAGCTCCTCTCCTTCAACTCCCCCAAAATTCCTGATCTAAAATTAAGCACGTGAAAATGGACAAACTTTTAGATAATTTGAAATTGTAATGGCCATTCTGGGGAAACTTTGTTTCAGATAAGTCCACCTTAAAGGTCACTCTTTGTCTTTTGGTTTTTTTTTTTTTTTGAGGAAGATTAGCTCTGACCTAACATCACCTGCCAAGCCTCCTCTTTTTTTTTTTTTTTTTTTTGGTGAGGAAGACTGGCCTGGCGCTAACATCCATGCCCATCTTCTTGCACTTTATATGTGGGATGCCCACCACAGCACGGCTTGACAAGTGGTACGCAGGTCCACACCCAGGATCTGAACTGGCAAACCCCAGGCCACTGAAGCAGAATGTGAGAACTTAACTGCTGCGCCACTGGGCCAGCCCAAGGGTCACTCTTAAAAGAGAGGATTCAAAACCTCTCACAATGGAATACCTTCTTTGATTAATATGCAGAAGCTTCTAAAAGACAAAATGACGTCAAAAACAGCTCTAAAAAGGATTCTTACAGCAAAAACAAAAGACCTTTAGTAAAAATCTTTGACCGTCTGAGCAAGTCCATCTGCCAGAGAGCAATTTATTCTTTTGATTTTTGTACCTGAGACATAGCTAAAATTTTTAAAGATCTCTGTGTGTGTGTCTGCATGTCAATGTATGTAAGTCTCTCTCTATATTTATTTGTCTGCTTCTAGATGATATGATTTCTAAAAGAGCTCTATTTAATTGGCTTGAAGTAAGGGCTTATATAAATTATTTCTAGGTGGAATAGAAACTAACCCAGTTGTCTTTCAAGTTAACGTGATATAAAATGTTCTTTGGTAAATAAAAGATAGTTTACGTTTGTTGCTTTAATAAAAGCAAAATGAGGGTGATTTTAGAGAGAAAAATCATGTTTAAATAGAAACTATAATACACATTCGTGGATATTAGATTCTCCTTTTGTTCATTGTCTTTGAGGTTTTTGCTTTCTATCTGTCCCCTGGGCTGGATCCTAAATTCTTCTAGTTTCCTCAAATATCTGGTACAGATATTTTTTTCATTTGGAACCGTTGAGAACTGAAACCACTCTTTTTTTCCTGAAGCCCTACAAACTGAAGCTGGACAACTCGACATAAACTTAAGAGAGATCACGACAATAGCCCAAGTTTAGACAATCTTCATACCTGTTGCTATATAAGCCACTCAAAAAGTTTACCTGAACACCTGATGACATCTTCAGAGACATTTCAAACTGCAAAAGATGTTTTGACCCCGACATCCAGAAATCTTCTTGACTGGCTGTCCCCTGGGCTCAGAAATTGGCTCCAATCATTAACCTTATTTTCTTTTTGTTTCGTCAGATTTCACCTGAGGTCCCAGGCCCAAACCTTGATTGGTTTACCGGCCTCTTCTCCTGGATTCCCCAAGGATTGAGATCTGTTATGGAGGGGATACTAAACTTTGGGCTGTCTATTTTGCTAACATGTGAGGTCGTCTATGTAATTATAAAATGTGGACTTAAGTGTTGTTCCAAAGTGTTCCAAAGCCATTGATCAGAGCACCAAAATATCAGTCATGCAAAGCATGCCTCACTCTCCCCACCTGTACCCAAAAGCATTTTAAAATAAAGGTAGGGGCTAACCCTGTGGCCGAGGGTTAAGTTCGTGTGCTCTGTTACAGCAGCCCGGGGTTTCACTAGTTTGGATCCTGGGCATGGACATGGCACCACTCATCAAGCCATGCTGAG